GAGTATTTTGAAGTATTAGGAAGCATTGCGAATTATTGCGAAGTATTGTGAAGTATTAAGAAGCATTGTGAATTATTGGGAAATATTGTAAAGCACTGTAAAGCATTGTGAATTATTGCGAAGTATTGTAAAGCATTGCAAAGCATTGCGAATTATTTGGGAGGATTGCAAAGCATTGCAAATTATTGCAAAGTATTTTGAAGTATTAGGAAGCATTGCGAATTATTGCGAAGTATTGTGAAGTATTAAGAAGCATTATGAATTATTGCGGAGTATTTTGAAGTATTAAGAAGCATTGTGAATTATTGCGAAATATTGCAAAGCACTGTAAAGCATTGTGAATTATTGCGAAGTATTGTAAAGCATTGCAAAGCATTGTGAATTATTGGGGAGGATTGCAAAGCATTGCAAAGCATTTTGAATTATTGCGGAGTATTTTGAAGTATTAGGAAGCATTGCGAATTATTGCGAAGTATTGTGAAGTATTAGGAAGCATTGCGAATTATTGCGAAGTATTTTGAAGTATTAAGAAGCATTGTGAATTATTGCGAAATATTGCAAAGCACTATAAAGCATTGTGAATTATTGCGAAGTATTGTAAAGCATTGCAAAGCATTGCGAATTATTGCAAAGTATTTTGAAGTATTAGGAAGCATTGCGAATTATTGCGAAGTATTTTGAAGTATCAGGAAGCATTGCGAATAATTGCAAAGTATTGTAAACTGTAAGAAAGCATTGTGTCATTGTGTGAAAATCACGTTTGTTCTCAAATATCTCGCTACCGAACTAGAACAACGACGCAACCGAGCGGCGGAACTTGAAAAATCGTAAGCTCTCGGTGGAACCGAGGCGACCGGATACCGATCGGAGGTGATTTTTTCGTGGCTAATCAGCCGATTCCCATCGCGCGGACCGTTCGCAAAGGAATCGGAACAAATTGGTTCCCGGAGCGTGAGGATCGCCGTGTCGCGACAAGGTAGCCCGAAGCGGCCCGAGGGCGGGTGTACGAGCGAGGGTCGAGAGCAGAGGGAAGAAGAAAAATATCGAAAGAAAACATTTTTCAATTATAATTATACTTCTGGACACTAATTTAGGCTCTATACGAACCTCGACGAATCTGTGAACAATTTTAACCCTTTGCACTCGAAGCCGTTTTAACTGTAAATTAAAAATAATTTTTCTGACTTATAATATCTCCATTTTTATATGACTCGTACAACTCGTACAACTATTAACAGTTTTTTAAACCTAAACTTTGTTAATATAAAAATGATCTTAGAACGTAATTTAGCAATTCTAACGGTGCCTCAGAGTCACCAATCGAGTGCAAAGTGCATTTTATGCGTGTGAAATCGAGTCTCGCGGTGACTCGTACAACTCGTACAACTATTGACAGTTTTTTAAACTTAAACTTTGTTAATATAAAAATTATCTTAGAACGTGATTTAGCAATTCTAGCGGTGCCTCAGAGTCACCAATCGATTGCTAAGGATTAATTACTCGCCAGAAACTAGATACAGCAAATTCTCCCTAATTTTCCTTCAGCTTGCAAACAAAAATCTAGAATTTAGAAAGAGGAGACACGATTATACGAGCCTTGTGCCTCGTTATACTAATCATCGACAATCGGCAACTATAGAAACGAGCCTCGAGGCTCCAATAATCGCGTCTCCTCTCTCCAAATTCTTAATTTCTGTTCACAAGCTGAAGAAAAATCCGGCAAAAATTCACAAAAATTCAGTCAAATAACAATATTTATATCCCGGGTCGAAACGGACCCGAGTCCCGCCTTCCAAGCGTTAATAACACAGGCACGCCTGTTTCCATCGCCGAGTTGCAAGATCCAGCGAAACCTAAATTCCAGAATCCTCCGATCGCGCGCGCGCGCTCGAAAGATCGTCGAACCGCGACGTTAAAAAACGCGCGTCGAGCGACATTTTTCATAACAATTCCCGGTCAAAAACGATCTATCGTTTCAGCGGCCGGCGATCGGCGCGTTGCAACAGCGGCGTTTCTTTTTTTTTTGTCGAAGTTTCGCGGCGCGGCGATTCCCACGAGGAAGAGACGCGGCCGGCGAAAAAAGTAAAGTGGCGTGAAGCAAAGCCGGCCGACAAAGCTGCGGGCCTCGGCCGCAGAAGAAACCCGAACGAACGAGCGGCAAAGAGCGTCGTCGGGTTAGCCCGAACACGAACGGAAAGGATGAAGATGAAGAACGGCGGTGCGTGAAGATCTCCTGCTGTCAGTCGGTGGTGAACCGTCCCGGTGGAAGGACGTGGTTGCCGGTTGGTTTCTGCTCCGCTCCGAGCCGCTTCGCCTCGCTTCGCTTCGCGTTCTCGCCGAGCCGTGTTCTCTCTCTCTCTCTCTTTCTCTCGTTTTCCGCGAGCGCCAACCGAACGGAAACGCTCTCGTCGTCAGCCTCTCTGTCATCGCTGGCGAGCATCTTCCACGATATCTCTCGGAACCGCGCGAAGAAAGTGTCTCGAAACGGGAATCGCGAGAAGAGTTTCTCTGTCGGATATCGACGTTGCTTCCACGCCGAAGATGACGGACTGGGATCGGGATTGACAGAGCCGATGCGAGAGGACGTTGACACCTGGACCGAAGAGAGCCCGAGAAGAAGCCCGAGAAGCCCGAGCAGTGCCAGAGTGAGTAGAGGAGAGCCCGGGGAGCTAGAGGAGACCGGAAAGATCCAGGAAGAATCCCGAGGAGCCTGTTGAGAGTTCGAAGAGAGTTCGAAGAGAGTTCAAAGTGAGTTCGAAGAGAGTTCGAGAAGCTTGAGGAGAGCTTGAGGAGCCCGAACAAAGCCTGAGGGACTCGAGGAGCCCGAAGAGGGCTCGAGGAAGCTCGAAAAGAGCTTGAAGAGAGCCCGAGAAGCCCGAAGAGGGCCCGTGGAGCCCGAGGAAAGTTCGAAGAAAGCCCGAAGAGCACGAAGGAAGCTTGAAGAGTGTCTGAGAAGCCTGAAAAGCCCAGAAGAGAGCTCGAAGAGCCGAAAGAAAGCTTGAGGAGCCCAAAAAGAGTCCGAAGGAAGCTCGAAGAGCCTAAAGAAAGCTTGAAAAGTGCCTAAGGAGCCTGAAGAGTGCCCGAGGAGCTTAAAAGAAGCTTAAGAAGCCTGAAGAGCCCGAAAAGGGCCCGGAGAGAGCCCGAAGAGCTTTAAAAAAGGTTGAAGAAAGCCCGAAGAGAGCCCGGAGAGAGCCTGAAAAGAGCCCGAGGAAAGCCGTAGAAAGCCCGAAGTGCCCGAAGAAAGCCCGAGGAGTCCGAAAAAAGCTTGAAAAGTGCCTAAGGAGCCCGAAGAGAGCCAGAGGAGCCCAAAGAGCCCGAAGAGCCTTAAAAGAGCTCGAAGAGCCTTAGAAAAGCCCGAAGATAGCCCGAAGATAGCCTTAAAAGCCCGAAGAAAGCCCGAGAAGTTCGAAATAAGCTTGAAAAGTGCCTAAGGAGCCCGAAGAGCCCGAAGAGTTTTAAAAGAGCCCGAAAAAGCCCGAAGAGCCCGAAAAGAGCCCGAAGAGTGCCCGAGGAGGCCGAAAAGGGTCCCTCGGAAAGTGTCAACAGCGGCGAATCGGGCAAGGAAAGTGACTATGACCGTGGAGCGGCGGTCGGCTCCGATTCCGAAGCATTTAAAACTGGTCTGAGAAGAGCGACTGGGACTGATCTTTTTGTGGGTCAGCCGCGTTAAATGCTGCGAAACGAGGAATGCCCGTCGCGTATGAATATATTCGGTGGTGCGATTAACGGGACCGTTCCGGCCGCTGAAATATTGAGCGCTGCTGCTAGCCGTGACCTTGGCCACCGGCGACATGAAAACGTAATAGCGAGCGGAGGCGCGCCGCGACCGCGGATCCGCGACACTGCCGGCGGAGTTTCGATCCCCGAGCTGCTCGTTCTTCCGTTATTGTCGTCTTCTCTGGCACCACGGAACCGACGATCACGGTTCTCACGTTAGAGTTTTCACGGTTTCCCGCGAGCACGAAAAGAACTATCGGAACACGGGCTCCCGGAGCGAACGGTTCGGACGGTTCCCGGTTCCGTTTACTTTGGACCATTTTAACAAAGTCGGTTCGTTTTGCTTCGGTTCGATCGTTCCGCGCGATCGTCTTTTCTCGCCGAAGGCCGAAGGATAAACGGAGGATTTTCGCCGAGGGGAAGAGCTGGACGATGATCGAGGCCCGGACCGGCTGAGATTCGACCGAGAGCTCTTCGCATAGGGATACTACTTCCGAGGGAAGAAGATCGTGATCGGGGACGAATCATCGCAGGGAATCATGGCTTCCATGTGCGGCAGCACGAAAAGTTATCCGGCGTTGAACACCGGCAGCTATTACCGGCCAGGTGCTTACCCGTATCAGGTAGGTGTGATAAAAGTCAGTTTTCGAAAAGTTTTCGTTTCTCGGTTGGATCGTGGATAAGTTGATTTTTACGTGGCTGCACGGTAGCGCGAATTTTTTAGAGAGCGAGGATCGTCATAATAAAAATAATGGTATTTATTTGATCAAGGGGAGCAAATATCTGCGTGGCAATAGTATGATATTAAGTCGCACAAGGAGCGAATTGAAAGAAATAAAGGGAAAAGAAAGGAGAATGATCGGCGAACAGTTTTTCCTTATTATATATATATATATTAAAGTGCTAACAATAAAGGAAGAATCGATGACTCCTCTATTATAT